ACGGTGGCTCATTTGAATTTTCACCAAGGTGGAGATTTGTCGAACATGTGGCTCAATTTGAGGCTTGCATCACCCATGACATCATCTTTTTGGCCTCCAAGTATATGTGTTCATCAAGCTTTATTCTTGGCTTCCAAGAATGTGTGCCTGGCAAGTCTTTTGAGTGGTCACCATGTAGCCTCATTTTGGTGTCCCATTTTGGCTATAAATAGCCTTGCCCTCCATAGTGTTGAAGCATCCCAAATCAATTGAGTGAGTTTGTAATATCAGTCAGTGGGTAAGAGAGTTTGGATGTAATTGGGTTTTGGGTGTGAGCCACTTTGCCTTGTATCTCTTTATTTCCATAGTGAAATATTGTTCTGTCTTCTCCCCGTGGATGTAGGCATAGCCGAACCACGTAAATTCTTGTCTCGTTTGTGTGTGTGCCTATTTATTTTCTTGTTATTATTTTTCTCTTGTTCTCATAAACTCCTATTCGATCCTTATTTCATAACAGAAAGGTTGGCTATGGAGTTGGGCAATTCTCCTCCAAAAAGATTCATAGCCAAACCAAGTACTTCCAGACTTATACAGTTAGCTAAGAAAGTAATAAAGTTTAGATCATCAACTTCCCTATTTCCAAGTTTATTACCATTAAAGTGAATTCTATATAAACTTTGTAAGCTTCCCAAATTTTGTGACAACCAAATTTTTAAGAATTTAATTTTATGATTTTTAGTTGTCAAGATTGACTATGTAATTAATTAGAGACTTAGAAATTGGGGATTAATGTTCCAGTTTGTTTGATTTAGTTGTTGTATATATATATATATATATATATATATATATATATATATATATAATTATGTATATAATATATGTTGGAGAAATGGAGTAGCTGCCGAATATGATGAGAAAGGAAAAATGGTTTTTTGATTTGGTGTGTTGCTTTTGTATTTATATATTATATATATAATATACATAGCATTTGTTGGAGATAAGAATGGAAAGAGGTGGAATGATGTAGAAGGTATGGTTACCGACAATAAAAGAAAAAGGAAATGATGGGCGGGTCCCACTCAAGATCTTGAAATGGGTTGTTTTTGATTTTGTTGCATGTATTTTTTACATATATAAGCTGTGTGAATGAGGTGCTGCCAGCCAAAGTGTGAGAGGAAAATGGGAAATGTTAATTGGCGGGGACCACTAGGTGATGATTTTTAAGGAGCGGATTGGTTTGATTTGGTTTTATACTGTGTTCACACACACACACACATATATAATATATATGAATTATGGTGATAGAAGAGAGCAGGTGTGGGCCGAATTTTGAAAGTGAAAAAGAAAAGAAAAGTACTCCATTCGTCCCATATTAGTTGTCAACTCTAAAAATTTTGACTCACAATTTTTTATGGTCAAAGTTATCGAAATAAACCTCTAGTATGGGATATAGGTAGTATATAAGTATGTTAAAGGAAAATGACTAAAAATAACATCAATTGATTCAAAAATAAAAAGTGGTAGTAAGTCAAAATTTTTCAAATTGACAACTATTATGGACGGAGGTAGTAAGAAAGAAAGGAAAGTGGGTGGGGGGACCCACTAACTAATTTGTTCAGCCAAAAGTGTGTGGGCTTCATGTGGGTTTGCTTATACGTATAGGAATGAGATTTTTTTTGTACGGTGAGATATATTGTGTCGGTGGAAATTTCCTTTATATATGTATGGCTTTGGTGAGCATTTAAGAGAGAGGAAATACAGAAACAAAATGAGGAAAGACGCAGAGCGAGTAAGCCGAGAAAGATAGAGTGAGCAGAGATAGACAGGGAGGGCCGAGTTTGAGGACAGAGAGAGGTCCGAGAGTTGTAAAGGAGGCCGGAGGTTTGAGGCTTTGATGATCCAATGAGGAAAATTCTTTTTCAGTGTAGGATTTTATATACTTTGAATTGCTTGGAGTGGTTTTACTTCAAATGGTTTTTATTAAATGTTTTAATTAAATGCATATGTATTTTGTTTATATATTCACATGAGTAAGTATATTTTGTGAAGCTGTTTTGTTAAATCTCTATGAAATTCTTGTTATGGTTTTTCCTACTGGGACTTTCCGTCTCACCACCCTCCACCGAAGATGAACGGGAATTGTTAGATTTAGGCTTAGGTGGAAGAGTTGGCGTTGCGAGATTTAATTTATTTATTTGGAGAATTTTTGTGTATATTTGAGGAAATTGATTTTGTATAAAATGGGGCATTTTTTTTATGATCTTTGGTGTATTTTGATGTATTTGTATTTGAATGAATAGAGGATTTTATTAGAATTTTCGGATCGTGACAAATTTGTTGGCACAGTCCCAGTGAGATTATTTTGAGCAAAGTCAATCACTTGAAGCCTAGAAGCATTTGGCAATGAAACAGGAATAACTCCTGTGAAATTGTTTACACCCCCGAGATTAGGAAGGGTATGGCCAACATCTGATGGGAGTTGGCCATGTAACTGGTTCTGAGTAACAAAGAAGTAGTAAATAGAGGAAATATTGTAAAGTGACAAAGGAATAGTACTGGAAAGTTGATTTCCATAAAGTTGAAAAAATCCCAAGCGCGACAGGCGGCCAAGCTCAGGGGGTATGTGACCATACAGATTGTTCCTGTTGAGTGAGAGAGCCAATAGTGATGAAAAGTTTCCTATCCAAGCTAGGATAGTTCCCGTCAGGCTATTTACACCCAGATGTACAATTAACAATTTTGACAGTGAACTAAGCTGATAGGGGATTGACCCAACAAGCTCATTGAAATTCACATCGAGGACTCTTAAGTCAGTACAATGAGTAAGATTTGTTGGGATCTTTCCGCTAAAGGAATTTGAGCTCAAATTGAGATGCTGCAGGCGTAGTAAGCGGCCTAAATCTCAAGGAAGTTCACCATGGAAGGTGTTGTTTTGTAGGTTGATGCCGGAAAGGTATGTGTGGTTGCCTATAGAAGGCGGTATGGAGCCAATTAAATTTAGTGATTCTGAGTTCAGAATCTTGACTCTTCCGGCAGAGGAGCTGCAAGTAACACCTACCCAATTGCAGAAATGGAGAGAATCGTTCCATGAGCTCATTATTTGAAGTGGGTCGTGACTTATCCGATTCTTGAAATCAAGTAAAGCAGATTGATCCGTCTGATTTCCAGAAGTGGATGCCACTTTAGATTCTAGACCTGAGATCATGCAAAAAAGAAGAATCCCATATTTGAAATTTAACACAAACCACCCAAAAGACAAACAAGAATTTTCCATCCTTTCGGTGATATAGGGCTGATGTGAGAACTAAATCCAATGTGAAAATTAATAAAAGTTTGTTTTGAGAAGAAAACATGTACAAGGAAGATGAAACATACTGCATTTTTTATCCTGAAAAAAGTTAAAACAATAAAAGAGATTTACCCACCAAGCTAGAGCTCGGACAAGTTGGGCTTTGATCGAATTGGTTAGTTGGAGAGGTTGGTGAACTACTATGATGAATTGGAGCATCTCAAAGTATGGGGCAAAGGATTAAGTTGATGAATTGGAGAAGAAAACATGTATTAGGTTGGAGAAGAAAACATGTATTAGGAAGCTGACCCCATGTTGCAGGTCGAAACAAGACTATCAAACATGATCATAAGTAGGAAGTTGGTGCCCTTTAGGTCTTCTAATGAAAAGCTGACGGTGATTACAAGTCATTATAAAAGGTTATAATAGGTTGAACAAAGAACTACCTAGTCTGGATTAGCGTGAAACAGATAGAACCAAAATATGAAGAATGCATAATATACACTGATTGTATATTATCATTTCAACCAGCATTTATTGGGTTTGGTTGGCTTGTGGATAAGCCAACTTCAACCTGGCTTGGTTGTGATTCAACCCTTCTGGACTCATTTCTCTACTAAAGCATATGAAATGAAGTTTTAAGTTTTAGATATAGTTCGTTGTGCTCGAGCAAGTTCTCTGTGTGGTCATTTACTAAAAAGAGGTTCTTTCATATGTACCATTTGAGTTTTTTTTGGTACAAATCCCCAACTATTCAGCTAATAAAACTAAAGCGTGAATTGGTGAATACTAGAAAGAAATAACAGATTAACACAAATCCTGAAACTTAACGAATCAATTAAATTCTTGCAGAAAAAAAAAAAACAATTATGGATCAAAGAGCTTCCTGTGTATTCTACTTTTGATTTATATAATTTTATCACTCTGATTATAGGAAAACAATAGACAATAACATAAATTCAACAATTTCTTTTGAGCCTTGAGAGTGAGTACTGGAATCATACCTTCCATTTTTGCCAGTTGTATGGACTGATTAGATGCAACCATAAGCATGGATGGGTCGTCGAAATAGGTCAGCCACCGCACGAATCATCAAACAAACATCATAACTTAAAGAGCTGATCTCTGTTCGCAGAGATTATTTCACCTTCGTGGGTCTCTCGCCGTAGCAATGGTGTTGCCCATGAAGTGAGTAAATTGGCTCTTCAGTGTAGGGCCCAGTGTTTGATTTGGATTTCTTGCCTAAGTTGATTGTTGTTGTTTCATTTAAGCTCTGTTTTGTTTTTTTGGGTGTCAATAAAAAAAATAATAAATAAAAATATAAAAATAATGATTTTTTATTACTCTAAAAGAAAATTAGAAAATAGAAAAGTTTTGCATTCTATTCTAAAATTAATATGTAATACTCCACTTTCCTTTTTTCTTTTTCTTTTTTTTTCTATGCTCTTTCATGTTTTAAGACTTTGGTTAAGTAATGAATGTTATATTATAAATTTAAATAACAATTAATTAAATTAAAGTTCAATTTCAAAGATTTGTAAATTTTATGAAAATCATTTTTAATATAAAAAAATTTTAAATTTCTATTAAGAAAATGTAACGATCCAAAAATTCGGCATGACCTCTGCAAAAAAGAGTTCTACTACAACCTGCTGAAATGCATATAAAATGCAATGCCTCTCTTGGACCTTTAAAACTGAACTATAAATGATCCAACACACAATACAAATAATAAACCTTAATCCAAAATCAACAACATCAACACCATCCTCAAAAGAGTTCAACATCATCCCCATCACCTTCAAATATATATAAACATGGCTATTACATGCATCATTGGCTATTAGTAGGACATTTGAAACTTGCATAAAATACGAATAAGGTTCATGACTTCATTTACATGTCACAATACACAAAAGGTACATGTCTTAATAAAGTTATACAAAATGAGGCTTAAGTACAAGAGGTAACAAAATAAACTTCTAAAATTCTACCTACGCCTGTGGTGGAACGTCGTCCGTCACTTTCTTTTTGTGTCCTGAAAAGTGTTTAAAATAAGGGGTGAGCACAACCCTCAGTAGAAGTCCCCTAAAGCGTCAGTTTTGGACTCCCTTAAGCCACGTAACATAAAAAGGGATAGAAAAGAAACTGAGGTCATACAATAGAAGTCCGTACAACATTTACCACTTAATAGGCAACAATCTCAACACATAACACAATTCTACAAAATGATGTGCATGATATGAAATGTGATGCACCCATCCCAAATCTGGTCTATACTGACCTAACTTTCACTTTTGAAAATCCGCTAACTGACTTTACCGAGGCGAGATTGATAGCTATTCCCGGTTCTAAATCCGGCAACTGTTAAAGGGCCTAGTATCAACTTTTTCACACCCTACACCGGCCGCGCTCCCTCCAAGTCAAGCTAACCCCGGACTCGCGAAATCCGGTTCATTTTAGAAAACTTCCCCTTTTTGAAATAAAACTTTCCCTTTTTGAAATAAAATTTCAATCACTTAAAACAAAGATTTCTTTTCAAATCTCTTCCAAATTCCCTTCTAATACCATGTCATGCCATGTAATGCTTTTCATGTTCTCAACTATCAAGCTCGTCAATTTAGCAATAAAACATTAACATGGCATTTTCAATCCAACAATTATAAGCAAGATATTCTATAAAATCAATTAAGATCATGGTATGTTTTAAGAATTCAATACAATAATAGTATCATCCACAATATTAATTTAAGCAAAATAATTTCTTACAAGAACCACACATCAACATGTTCAACATATAATCATTCACACACCAATATCATGTTATCATTTAATACACTAACATAATCTCCAAATAAACACAATTTCATATCAAAGTTTACATTGTCTCAAAATATAACAAGAGGAAATAGGAATTTGCTCAAACAAAAGGCAAAACTCAATGCATTAGGGAGACTCCTACTTCAAATTGAAGAAAAAGCCCCAAATATGCCCAAAATTTTGAAATCCCAAGTGTGACCAAACGGAGATTTGCTCCGATCAAAACGACGGCCTCGACGCGCTCGTCAACTTTGCCTTAAGCAGCAAAATTAAAATCTCAAAGGATAAAGCTAGATCAAAGTTTGAATTAATGAGAAGAAAAAGAAAAAAAAAAAAATGAGAGAGAGATAGTTAGGCGTGAGAGAGAGAGAGAACTGACGATGGAAATGGCTATAAAGCCATTATAATGGCTTATGGTGGCAGGTCCCACAAAAATTAAATATCTCACCTTTTTCTTTTATAATATGTGTGTATATACCTCAATTAAATTACAACCATAAAAATTAACATATAACCATGTAAGTGAACATAAAATAGTGATACATGAAATGCAATGGACCCACGACACAACCCCCGTGCACAACAGCACCGGTAACAGGTCCCACCTTGGACCTCCCGACACGAAAAACGAAAAAAAGTCGAAATGGTAACCATTGCATTTCCAAGAGTCCCGAACTCAAGAAAATGCCTCAACCAACTCTCAAACACACTCGGCACATCCCACGGTGTCCGACACGCAAAATGGGACCAGACAAAAATAATCCAAAAAATCGAAAAAATCTCAAAAATTGAAAAATGGTGAAAATGAAGATCTTTAATCCTTTTGAAAATTAGACTAATTATTTAAAAATAAAAATATAAAAATGAAAAAGATCCAAATTTCTAGAATAAGTTTAAATAGTCAAATATAAAAATTTCACTTAGTTTATCAATTTTGAATAGAAATTAAAATTTTGCTAATTTGAAAAGAGTATAAGTGAAAAGGTGGTGCAGTGGAATCGATTATTTGAGTAATACTAATGTAGGGAATTTGAGTAAAAGAAAAGGCCATTCAAGGTATTTGCAAGGCATAATGTTCTATTAAATTTCATTCTTTTTTAGAAAAAAGTCTAGCTAAAGTATATATATATATTATGCCTCCACTGAGGCTCCATTCAACCTCCACATAATGTGGAGAAGAGTTTATTATACAATATGAACTTAGTGCCTACTGGTAGAGTAGATGATGCTAGATTTGCAATTCAGAATTCTAGATATAAAATATCATTTCTTTCATAATACCTCAAGTTGTGCAGGTGTAATGATGAAAGAAACAAAAATGAAGAAAATCCCTACCTCATCCAAGTCTTCTTCAATTCTGTTTCTTAAAACTAAGAAATGAGTTTCTGATTGCATTCATTGTGTTGACAACCACATTCATTGTCATCCTATCCCCTGGTAATGAATTAGAACATGAAACTCCAGTTCTCATCACTGAAACCAAGCATTCCTCCATTCCCCACCTAGCGCTGTCCTGGGGTTCATTTTTGTTCAATGCTACTTCTTCTATTTCATCTTTTTTATTCTCGTCTAAGTTGTTTTCTTCCTCGAAGAACAGTGAAGGGTCTACTGTGTCCAGTACACGTTCAGGTAAAGCCATTGCAACAAACTCGTGAAGGTTTAGGCCATCTTTGAACATGTCATCTGTTGGTCTTCTGCCTGTAAACATCTCCAGCAAGAGTATTCCATAGCTGTACACATCTCCAAGGGTGGACACTTGATCACCCATACCATACTCTGAGATTCAATAATCAACTGTCAGAACGATATTTAACCATATACATTACCAAAATATCATTGGAAAGACACAGGCATTATTGATTAGAAGATTCACTTACTTATATGATATGGTTTTTTGTTTAAGCCTCTAGTAACATTTGAACTTAACAGGGCTAATTTGTAAAAGCGCCTTTGTTTAAACTTGCAAATATTTGTGATGATCAAATATGGAAATAATCAATTTGGATAGAGAGCATACCTGGAGGAATATAACCGATAGAACCCTTTAGCCCAGCTGACGTGGTTTGATTTTTGGTGGGATTATTTGATGATTGAAAGAGGAACCTTGCTAATCCAAAGTCACCGACATGGGCTGTCATGTCATCATCCAGGAGAACATTGCTTGGCTTTAGATCACAGTGAACAATTGGTGTTTCACAATGATGATGGAGATAATCCAATGCAGAAGCAACATCAATGGCTATATTCAGTCTCAGGATTATATTCATACTCGTGGTTCTATGTTGCCTGTCATCAATTGGATGCAGCCACTGGTCAAGGCTTCCATTGGACATGAACTCAAATACAAGACCTTTGAAGTCATTACCTCGTTGATCAACACTAGAACATGTAGTTATGATCTTGAGGAGATTCCTATGCCGTATACTTCTCAAAGCCCTGCATTCATCCATGAAGCTCTTCGAAGCTCCTTCCTGTTGAAGGTTTAACACTTTCACTGCCACAATTGTGCCATCATCACTGAGAGTTCCTTTATAAACAGAGCCAAAGCTACCTGAACCGATCAAATTGTCCATGGAGAACCCATTAGTTGATCTAACAAGTTCTTGGTAAGAAACCCCCATTTTCCAATCCCTAGAGGAGAATTCACTTGAAGGTCTCTTTCTTGAGTTTCTTCTCACATAACAAGCAGCAAAAGAACACGACAGTACCATTACAAATATAATTGCTATTGTTACGGGGATGAAAACTTTTGGAGCTAGAAATTTTCTTGAGTGAGATTTTTCTTGAGAGCAAGCAGGCAAATGCAAGTCTAGGACACCACCACATAGCTTGTCATTTCCAAGGATAGAAATTGCAGTAGCATTTGCAAAAATTCCTTCCATTAACACTGCCCCCTCGAAATTATTGAAGGAAAGATTGAGTTTCTTTAGAGATGAAAACTTTCCAAGGAATTCTGGGATCTCACCAGACAAGTTATTACGCGAAAAATCAATCTCTTCTAAGCCTCTTAATGCTTTCAAAGATTCAGGAAGTGTTCCTTGAAATGAATTCCCCTCAATAAGCAGGTGCTCCAAACTAAGGCAACTGCTGAGGGTGCTTGGAATTTCACCAGACAATCTGTTATCTGACACATCAAGTTCCATGAGATGTATCAAGTTACCCACTTCAAATGGTAATGAACCAGTCAAATAATTATGACCCATTGCCAAAGAAATAGAAAGAGAAGAGAGACTGATGACCTCTTTGGGTATGGTGCCACTAAGATTATTACTAGTAAGGTTTAGCACCAGCAAATTCTTGCAATTTCCAAGGCTTGGGGGTATGCTGCCTTCTAGTCTATTCTCCTCCATAAAGAGTTTGGTTAATGATGTTAAGTTGCCAAGGGAAGATGGTATTGGCCCTGAAAATTTGTTAACATTCAAATATAATCCCTCTAATTTTTGAAGCTTCCCCATAGCACCAGTGATACTACCAGTCAAGTAGTTCCCTTCTAGCCCTAGAAGGGTCAAATTGATGAGGTTCTCAATCCCCACAGGAACAGTTCCATAAATCAAGTTACTACCCAGAGTAAGTATTTCTAGGCTGGTTGAGAGGTTGGCTATGGAGCGGGGCAACTCTCCTCCGAAAAGATTTCCGGACAAACCAAGTACTTCCAGACTAGTGCAGTTAGTCAAGAAAGTAAAAAAAATCAAGTCACCAACTTCTCTATTTCCGAGTTTATTATTATCAAAATTAATTCTATATAAATTTTGCAAGCTTCCCAAATTTGTTGGCACAGTGCCAGTGAGACTATTTTGAGCAAAGTCAATCAACTCAAGCCTAGAGGCATTTGGCAATGAAACGGGAATGAGTCCTGTGAAATTGTTCACCCCCCCAGCAAATATTTGGAGATTAGGAAGGGTAAAGCCAACATCTGTTGGGAGTTGGCCGTGTAAGTAGTTCTGAGTAACAGAGAAGTAGTAAATGGAGGAAATATTGTAAATTGACAAAGGAATAGTACCGGACAGTTGATTTCCATAAAGCTGAAAAACTCCCAAACGTGACAGGCCACCAAGTTCAGGGGGTATGCGACCATACAGATTGTTCCTGGTGAGTCCAAGAACCAATAGTGACGAAAAGTTTCCTATCCAAGCTGGGATAGTTCCTGTCCGGTTATTTGAAGCGAGACCTAGATACAACAATTTTGACAATGAACTAAGCTGAGCCGGGATTGACCCAATGAGCTCATTGTAATTTACCTTGAGGAATCTTAATTCAGTACAATGAGAAAGATTTGTTGGGATCTTTCCGCTGAAAGAATTTGAGCTCAAATTGAGATGCTGCAGGCGTAGCAAGTGGCCTAAACTTTGAGGAAGGTCACCATGGAAGCTGTTGTCTTGTAGGTTGATCCCAGTAAGGTATGTGAGGTTGCCAATAGAAGGCGGTATTGAGCCAATTAAACTTAGAGATTCTAAGTTCAGAATCAGGACTCTGCCACTGGCGGAGCTGCAGCTAACACCTACCCAATCACAGTAATGGATAGAATCATTCCATGAGCTCATTATTTGAAGCGGGTCATGACTTATCCGATTCTTGAAATCAAGTAAAGCAAATTGATCCGTCTGATTTCCAGAAGTGGATGCTACTGCAGATTCCAGACCTGAGATCATGCACAAAAGAAGAATCCCACAATTGAAAATTAACACAAACCACCCAAAACACAAACCGGAATGCTCCATCCTTTTTGGGATATACTACTGATGTGAGGACTAAATCCAATATGAAAATCACTAGAAGTTTTCTATGAGAAGAAAATATACATGTATAGGGAAGATGGGTATCAAACTGAATTAATTAACCTGAAAAAGGTGGATAATACACAGCTGGTGTGATGTCTGTTTTGTGGTCCATAATTTAGGAAAATGTTACTCTAACCTATTAGGAGGATCAGTGAAGGCATCTGAGGTTTGAGAGCCCTTCGGTGCAACAATTCTGTGTTACTCTTCGGTTAGAGTGGCATCAATATTGTTGGAAATTGTGTCTCAAATTCCTATTCTAACTACGATTCTATTTTAGAGTTAGAATTAGTTCATTCACATTTCGAAAGGAGTATTCTATTAAGTAATTTCTTATTTGGCAAGTCTTGGCCTCTAAGGAATTGTAATCCTTGTCCAACAAAGAATTATGTTTGTAACTCTATAAATAGCTACATATGTTGTGGGTTTAGACTTATGAGATTAAGAGAGATGTAGTCTCATGAGGGATTGGCTACTAACTCACTTGCCACTTCCTCCTTTATACAAGATAGAGTGCTAGGCATTAGCTCACTTGTTTCATCCTCTTAACTCTCATCATCTCCATCTATATACATTGAAGTTGTTGCCATTTTTTCTTTTGCCTCTTCCTCCTCCTCTTGATGAGAAAGAGTACTTGCAATTTGCTCAACTTGAGCTTCTGACTTGGCTAAAGTTTGAGAATGAGAATTAATAAGTGGAGTTTGTGAAATATGCACATCAAGTAAAGATCACAATTTTTCTTCAAATCCGGGTGAGTACCTAGAGGGTGGTGGAATTGGTTCATCATAAAATGGTGGGGGAGGGTAATAGTCATAAGAAGGATTAAATGAGTGATCAAGTCCATAATAAGATGATGCATGTTGTGAATTGGACTCAATCTCATAAGGATTAAAATATGATGGAGGAGCATGAGGTGAAGGGATATAATTTCCCCCCAAACTTGGATCAAACAATTCCTCCATTCACAATTAAAACCCAAATGCAACAAAAATTGGCCTCAACAAGGGCCTATGCATGGACAAAGATAAAACAATATAATAAGCCTCAACAAGGGCTATCACAAGCATTCAAAGAAGTGAAACAATTAAAATACAATAGTTCCAAGAATTGCTCACAACGGTCCTTAAGCAACTTCAAATTTTAATATTAGCTTTAAGCTCCAATTATTGCTTCAAGTTCCAAAGTTTGCCTTCCTTGTAGTCAAGTACCTAATTGAATAAATAATAGTGAGAGCAAGAGAAAAGAATATACAATGGAAAATAAAATAAAAATAGAAGCAATCGAACGAACACTATTGTCTAATCTAATTCCAACAAAACCGTTAATCCCCGGCAACGGCGCCAAAATTTGACGATGGCCGCTTGATATACGCCAAAATTACGTAGTGAATGTGCAGTTCAAGAAAAGCCTTTTAGGTCAAGTTTAAATTTATAAAAACTACTACCAACACTACTACTAAAGTATCAAGAGTGAGTAGGGATCATCCCAAGGGATTATACGTGTTGGAATTTAACTTCAACTCTAATGTATCACAAGATTGCAAAGAGAGAGATTGGTTTGATTAAACTAAGGTGCAATGAAATTAAAATGCAAGTAAAGTAAACTAGTTAGAGATAGGGATTTAAGAGATATGAAGAGAGGTCTTAGGGTGTTAGAATCACCACTAAGCTCATGTAATTAACCACTTACTTTCCATTAATGGGGAATACATTATTGTGAACAAAATGCGACTACCAATTGCAATATTAAGCATGGACCATCTAATTTATGTATGAATTGTCTACCTAAACTAAGTGTAGCACAACTCATCAATTTTAAGCATGACCCATCTAAGTAGCAACAATTGTAGCACACATCAATCTAGAGAATCATGGAATTTGCAATATTAAGCGTGGACCATCTAATTTATGTATGAATTGTCTACCTAAACTAAGTGTAGCACAACCCATCAATTTTAAGCATGACCCATCTAAGTAGCAATAATTATAGCACATATCAATCTAGAGAATCATGGAATTTGCAATAATAAGTTATGAAATATCTAAGCAAGCATAGATTGTCTACCTACCTACAAGCATGAATTAAATTATAGAACAACCCATCAAGTATAAGTATAAACCATCAAATTAATTGACAAACCTATTCAATGAAAACCCATGCTTAGCATCACTAGATTTTCAATCAACCACACATAGACATGCAATTAATGTAGAAAAACTAGTGTAGAGATTAATTCCCAAATAATCACACATAAGACAACATATCATTACAAAGAGAATCAATAGGAAAAATTAAATCATATGAATCATGTGAGACATAATTCCTAATTTAATCACACATAGACATGTAAATAAACTAGAGAATTAATAGGAAGAATTAAACCATAGAAATCATAGAAATGGACCAAGATTCATTAAATTCATAAGGCTAGAGCACTAATCACAACAATATATATATAAATCTCCAAAAATAGAAATACAAGGGTTTAGATTACACAAGACTTGGGGCTCATCCAAGCCCTAAGTGTAGATCTAGCCAATCATGGAGGAGGTAGATGTCGTCATGAAATCAAGCTCCAAACATGGATCCATCTTCTTCTTCCTCTTCTTTTTCTTCTTTGAAGCTCTAGAGATGGAGAGAGAGAGTGGTCTAGAGATGGATCTTGAGATGTGCCTCCGCTTCCCCCTTCTCTTCTAACCCTAATCTCTAACTTTGCTAGAGAGAGAAATAAAAAATACAATGTAAAAAATAAAAAGATAAAAGCTTCTTTACAAATGGGTCTATTTCTTTTATATAGAAGGTCATTTTCTTAGTCACTAAGTCAGGAATATAGCCCCAAAAATATCTAATCCCATACTATGTGATAGGTGGACTTTTGGGCGCGCACGGAATAAGACAGCACGCTGCCAGCAATGTTCGATCGATCAGAGAAAAAGTTGGATCGATCAGAGAAAAAGTTGGATCGATCCAACTTGGCAGTTTTTCAGCATTGGCCTCCTTTTGCTCCAAATGAGCCTCTTTTTGCTCCGGATCATCACTAAGACTTAGTTTGACTCCAAAAAGGCCTTAAGAATCCATTTTTAGCCCATTTTAACATTATTAACCTGAAATAGACAAAAACACAAATAAGTACTAAAACGGGTCAATAAGATAGATAAAAGTTCTAGAATACTCAAGCTTAAGGGGTTTAAAAGTATACTTTTTAGCGCTCATCACAACCTTTGGGCTTCCATGCCCTTTCAACACTTGTTTTCAAATCAACATTCTTTGAAATCATTTTGGAAAATGAACTTTTGGAAATTCCATTTTCAAGCAAAGACTCAACTTTTCCAAATTCATTGTCAAGACATTTTTCCATAACACACACTTCTTCATGTTTATCCATTGAACTCGGGGTTAGATTAAATATATTCAACTTCACCTTCATATGCCCAAATGAAATTTTCATTATCCCCGTCCTACAATTGATGTTAGCATTTGCAGTTGCCAAGAAAGGACAACCAAGGATAACGGGAATTTGATTCTTGGGATTTGGGATTGGTTCCATGTCAATGACAACGAAATCAATCGGGAAGAAAAACTTATCAATTTTAATCAACACATCCTCAATAATCCCCCGAGGCTTTTGATGGATCTGTCGGCTAGTTACAAAACTACCGACGTTGGTTTCAAATCTCCTAAGCCCAATTTAACATATACCGAGTACGGAAGAAGGTTAACACTTGCTCCTAAATCTAGAAGAGCCCGATTAATGACATGGTCACCAATGACACAAGAAGGAGTAGGTGAACCGGGGTCCTTGAACTTTGGAAGTGTGTTATGTTGTAAAATAGAGCTCACTTGCTTGGTCAAAACAACTTTCTTTGGTGCGTGGCTCTTGTTCTTCCTCTTTTGGGTGCAAAGATCTTTCAAGAATTTGGCATAAACCGGAATTTGTTTAATTACATCCAAGATGAGAAGGTTAATCTTCACTTGCCTAAACATTTCAATGATTTCGTTGGCTTTGCCTTATTATTTGTTGAGAGAATTGGATCCTTTCAAGGCATTCGGAAATGGAGCTTTTGGCTCATAAACCTTTTCAAAATCATTTTGAGAGTTACGTTCAATACAAGAGTTTTTCAAATCATTTTGTAAAACTTTTTCAGCACAAGAATCTTTCACATGTAATGAAGGAGAAACAAAATGTGATACGAAACGGGTGTCAACTTTTGGTTGCACCGGTTCACTCACTTCATTTTGGACACCAACTTAGTTGTCAACAATTTTTCCACTTCTCAAGGTTGTCACCGCATTAACATGCTTAATTGTGGGACCTTCCGATGAGGAATTGGTTTCCATAACAAATTGTTGCTTTGGTGGGGCATTTAAAGGCATCTTCCCTTTTTCTCTAGCATTCAAGGTACTAGCTATTTGTCAGACTTGGGTTTCTAGCTTTGCAATAGATTGGGAATGAGAATGAAGTAATTGAGTGTTTGCCTCTAGAGTATCCAAAGCGGTCAACACTTTTTCCTCAAAAGCGGGACTCTTAGAATTTCCTTGAGAATAAGATGATTGATTAGGAAAATGAGAGTTAGAAAATTGGTTTCCATGTGATTGAAAAGATGATCTGTAACCTTGGGAACCTTGGCTTTGCATTGGGGGAGGAACATACTTGCCTTAAAAACCACCTTGGGGAGGGTTTGAGCCTTCCCCTTGGCTTTTCTAAGAGAAGTTCGGATGGTTCCTCCACTCGTGATTATAATGTATGTCATAGGGATTATTCCCATGGTTAACAAATGTGGCATTCACTTGTTCATAGTTCTCACTTTGCACATATCCATGGGGACAATTGGAAGTAGAGTGTAAGACACTAGAACAAGTCATGTAAGATTCATTAGATGAATGATGAACATGATTAGGGGAGGAAGACACTTGATTCATCGAATTTTGGTTGATCAAAAATTGATCAAACCTTTGAGATAAAGATTTCACCTCCGCAACTATGTCATTGGAATTGTCAACTTGATATAAGCCGACATTCTTCCTTCCACCTAGATTTCTACCATTTTTAGAGGACAAGGATCTATGCATTTAATTCTCACTCATGCTCTCATATAGACGCCGCACATCATCCTCATGCCTATCAAGATAAGAACCACCCATGGAAGCATCAACCATTCCTTTAAAATTATCCGACAAACTTTCAAAGAAAAATTGTACCAATTACCATTTAGGAAT